TGAAGAAGGTCATGCAGCAACCAGAACTCTCAGGCAGACTGATGCAGTGGTCCGTAGAACTCAGCCAGTTTGACATCTCTTATCGCCCTCGGACAGCAATCAAGGGGCAAGTTGTAGCTGACTTCATCCTGGAGTTCACCAATCCGGCCCCGACCACTCCCCCTCCACTCCCACCAACTCCAACAGAGCCAGAAGATCCTCATTCTTGGACTCTTAATGTCGACGGGTCATCCCGAAGAGAAGGAAGCGGTGTCGGCCTCATCCTCACCTCTCCTGAGGGCGGCCACTTCAAATGTGCCCTCCGTTTCCTGTTTGACGCAAGCAACAATGAAGCCGAGTACGAGGCATTAATAGCAGGACTCCACCTCGCCAAGGACATAGGGGTCAACCACCTCCGAGTTTTCAGCGACTCCCAACTCGTCGTCGGTCAGATGACGGGGGACTTTGACGCCAAGGACGATACGATGCGAGCTTACAGAGACTTGGCACTCCCCCTTGCTCGCCTCTTCAATACCTTCCACATCAGGCATATTCCTCGGGCAGAAAACTCCAAAGCAGATGAGATGGCTCAATTGGCTTCTGCTGACCATCCCACCCTCAGCCACGATGTCCGCGTTGAATATCTACACCACCCGGCCGTTTCACCCAATCTACAAGCCATACAGTGCATTCAAAATGAACCTATCCCTTGGGCGTCCGACATCCTCCTATTCTTGACCACAGGAGCACTCCCAGATGACCAGCTGCAGGCTTCCAAAATCCGATCCCGCACGTCCAATTACGTCATTATCGACGATATACTGTACAAACGCGGCTTCTCCCGGCCATATCTACGGTGCCTCAATCCAGCGCAAGCAACTTACGTAATGCAGGAGATCCATGAGGGGATTTGTGGTAATCACTCAGGAGGTAGGTCCCTTGCCCAGAAGATACTCCGTACTGGGTATTTTTGGCCAACTCTCAATCAGGATGCGACCGACTTCGTGCTCAAATGCGATAAATGTCAACGCTTCGCCAACATCCCTCATGCTCCTCCTACAGAGTTGATCCCACTCTACAGCCCTTATCCGTTCGCCAAGTGGGGGATCAACCTGGTCGGTCCGCTTCCCACCGGCCGAGGTCAGACCAAGTTCGCGATCGTTGCCATTGATTACTTCACCAAATGGGTCGAGGCTGAACCCCTTGCCACAATCACCGAGCGGAACACCACCAGGTTTATCTGGCAATCGATCATTTGCCGATTTGGCATCCCTCAAGCCATCATCTCTGACAATGGCAAACAATTCGATAACGCGAAGTACAGAAAATTTTGTGCAGATCTCCAGACCCAACCGTGCTTCTCCTCCCCCGGTCACCCCCAGGCAAACGGCCAAGTTGAAGTCACCAACCGTTCCCTTCTCAAAATCATCAAAACCAAGCTCGAAGCTGCTAAAGGCCTTTGGGCCGAGGAACTGCCCAATGTACTCTGGGCTTACCGAACCACCGCTCGCACTCCCACTGGTGAAACCCCTTTTCGCTTAACATATGGCGCTGAGGCGGTTATCCCGGTAGAGGTCGGCCTCCCCACTCCTAGGGTTTTACACCCGGATCTGGCCTCAGCCGAAGAGCTCCATCGAACACACCTCGATCTAATCGAAGAGCTCAGAGAAACCGCTGCTGTCAGATTGGCCTCTTACCAGCAGAAAATGAGAACACACTACACCCGCCGAGTAGTGACTCTTGCCACAAAGAATCCAACCGAGGGCAAACTGGCAGCCAAATGGGAGGGGCCCTACGTTGTGAAAGCCCGACCACGACCAGGCACTTACCGACTTCAAGACATGGAAGGCCGAGACCTGCCCCATCCCTGGAATGCAGAACATTTGAAGCGTTACTACCAATAAGTTCATATTTTTGTATTGTCAACATTGTTGTATTCCCCTTTCCATACATAATGTAAATGCCGACTGATGGCCTCGGTTTTCGTAATTCAACTGTTTCTATGTGGCCCCAATAACTTTTCCACTTGCAGCACTTCAAAAGCCTCAGCCAGATTGAGCACTTCAAAAGCCTCGGCCAGACCGAGCACTTCAAAAACCTCAGCCAGATTGAGCACTTCAAAAGCCTCGGCCAGACTGAGCACTTCAAAAGCCTCGGCCAGACTGAGCACTTCAAAAGCCTCGGCCAGACTGAGCACTTCAAAAGCCTCGGCCAGACCGAGCACTTCAAAAGCCTCGGCCAGACTGAGCACTTCACAAGCCTCAGCGAGACTGAGCACTTCAAAAGCCTCAGCCAGACGGAGCACTTCAAAAGCCTCGGCCAGACCGAGCACTTTCAAAGCCTCGGCCAGACCGAGCACTTCAAAAGCCTCGGCCAGACTGAGCACTTCACAAGCCTCAGCGAGACTGAGCACTTCAAAAGCCTCAGCCAGACTGAGCACTTCAAAAGCCTCGGCCAGACTGAGCACTTCACAAAGCCTCGGCCAGACCGAGCACTTCAAAGCCTCGGCCAGACCGAGCACTTCAAAGCCTCGGCCAGACCGAGCACTTCAAAGCCTCGGCCAGACCGAGCACTTCAAAGCCTCGGCCAGACCGAGCACTTCAAAACCCTCAGCCAGACTGAGCACTTTCAAAGCCTCGGCCAGACTGAGCACTTTCAAAGCCTCGGCCAGACCGAGCACTTCAAAAGCCTCGGCCAGACCGAGCACTTCAAAAGCCTTGGCCAGACCGAGCACTTCGAAGGCCTCTGCCTCACTGAACACTTCAACGCCCTTCAAAAGCCTCAGCTAGACTGAGCACTTCGAAGGCCTCTGCCTCACTGAACACTTCAACGCCCAGCAGAACCACATTTTCAACACTTAGTCACATTAACCCGCCCGAGTTGCACCCCTAACTTCAACGCCCAGCAGAACCACATTTTCAACACTTAGTCACATACTCTCACGAATTTCATTTACTGATCAGGTTATTTGCCAAGTATTTAGTTACAATTTACAACTTGCCTCTTGCTCCAACTTTTCCATTATTTTTTCAATTTTAATACGACTCCAATCGCGCTTAGTCAATTTGCCAACTATTTAGTTACATTTTCAACACTTAGTCAATTTTTCCATTTCTTTCACGTTGCACGATATTTTTATTGACCCAATCTTTATGACTAGTTTTAATCACAACATTTCATTCACACTGACAGCATAAGCAAAATACACAAAATCCAACTGGCTATACATTCATCCATTCCAATTAAATAATCTTTGTAGACAACTCCATTACAGTTAAATTCTCCACACCTTCATTTATTCATTTAAAATGTGTTTACAAACAAAAAAAAAAAAAACCACAGAGCACAGAGCACGCCCAGATCATCTTCTCCTTGGCTACTCTTCCTCGCTGGATGCTAGATCCTCTTCTTCAACGCCTTCGTCCAGGGGGGTCTGGGCCACATTATCCTCACCTATTGTCACACTACTCAGGTCCAAGTTTGGGAACATCTCCTCAGCTCTACGCTTGAACATTTTCCAACCGCTGTCCCAGAACTCGGCCATTTCGTGCTTATAGAAGTCGGACTGCTGGAAACTTTCAATCACCTCTGATTCCGTCCTACCTCCAGCAGTCTTCCTTGATTGGCCCACCCCCCCAGGCTCTTGACTAGCCAGACTCCTGGCGACGGCAGCATCTACCACCATCTGGAATTCGGGGGACCCTTTATATTGCTCCACTGCTGCGACGCATAGATCAGGGTAGGCCGCCTTTTCAGACGCCGCCTTCGCCCTCTCCTCGTCCAGCTCCCTTTGCAGGGCCACCCTTTCAGCAGCCGCCGTCGCCTTCTCCTCTTCCATCCCCTTCCTCAGACTCTCCAGCTCCGCCGCCACCTTCGCCTTCTCCATCTCCCATTCCCTCAGAAGCCTCCCTTTGTCCTCCTCTGCTCTGGCGCGCTCCTCCCCAAGCTCCTTCAACAGGTCTCTAATTCTGGAGTCCGCTTCATCCTTCTGCCTGACCAGCTCTTCATTGCTGGTCATAGCCTCTTCGTGCCGCTCGACTGCCACGGCGCAGGCCCTCTCAGACTCTTCCAACTTTTTCTGTTCACCAGCCAGTTGGAACTCCAACGACACAACCTTACGGCGTGTGTCCTCCAGTTCCAACTTGACTGCTGGCAGATCGGCGTAGGCAGTCTCCCAATCGGCACTGTCCTTCTTTAATTTGGCCAACTGGGCCCTGGCCTCCTCAGCCTTCAACTTGGCGGCCCCAGCTTTCCTGAGAAGAGCCCCCGCCAAGGTGGTTACCTCCATTTGGGTGAAGCATAACCCCCTCAGTAGGTCGGCCTCACTATACCCAGATGCCGCGCGCAGAGCTCCCTCATCCACAATCTTCACCAGGCGGTCGGCTCCCGCCCTGGCTGGGCCTTCTTCTCCCTCCAACCTTCCAGCTACCGCACGCATATGATAAATCACCGTGGCCACACGAACCCCTCCTTCCTGGGGGTCGGGCCTCCTCTGGACCTGTTCCCTCCCGCTCGACGCCGCCTCACCCACCCCAGCCTCCACTTGTACTGGTGGAGCCATCTCCACAAGTTGGGATGATCTCCACCACCTCTAGGGCGTCCTTTGCCACAGGGACCTCCGCATCTATTGGGGCCACCTTCTCCCTCTTGGCCCCAGACTCCTCTGCAGCCTCCTCTATGTTTCTAGTCATCATGCTTGACGTCCATATGAGGGCACAAACCTTGAGTCAATTGTTGATTGTGTGGTGTATAACACAACCCCTAAGAGGAGGGTCCAGGGTATGTGTGGATTGTCCCCTTTTGGGACCCTCCAAATTTGTTATTCACCGCCCATGATGACAATAATCCTCTCCACTCTAACCCATTTTTAATGAAAAAATAAAGAGCAAATTGCATAATTTTTTATTTTTAAAGTTTCACATGTTTTGTAAATTAAATCTTAAAGTTTTAATTTTAACAATTTAAATCCTATATTTTACATCATATAATCAGACACCTATATTTTAAATACTCCATCTATCATTATCTGTTGCTGGTCACGAAAAAAAAAAAAAAAAATCTATTAGTATCTGTTAATATTCAAATGGAAGAAAGGAAAAAGAAATGACATTTGCCAAATTAGAGGGACAAAATAAAATTCTGCTAAGATTTATTAATTTTTACTTTATGAGAAGGAATTGTTAACATGCACATGTCAATGAAAATGTTAGTTTTCTATGCAAAACAACAATGACAAATGACAGTCGAATCGTATTAAAATGGATATGAAAATATGATATTTAAATTGTTGAGATTAAAATTATGAAAATTAAAGTGAAATTTTGTTCAAACTATAGAGATCAATTATGTAATTTACCATTCTCCCTAATCCTCTATTCAGTTTGGGCCGTAGGTCAACCACGGAGCCTCATTTTAATGATTTGATCTATTAATTTTATTGGTGTATAAATCATTCATAAAAAAGTCAGATTGATAATCAAACAATTTGTTTCAAAATTATACTCGTCATCTATTTCAGTGAAGACAGATATGATAAAATCATATTATTATAATTATCTAATCAATTTAATTTTTCATGGATGGTCCATACACTGAGATTAAAAGATCAACAGATCAAATCACGAAAGTAGGACGACCAAACTAGCCCAATCCACATAGCGCACAAGACACAAACCCAACCACCAAATCAACTCTTAGTTGCACTCCATCAATTTATAATTACTGTCATCACTTGTTATTTCTTTATGAAATTATTCCTATATATATTGATGTATTTGAATAATAGTTTACAATAATGAAAAATTACATATGAAAATGTAAATTAAACCGAAACGATCTAATGTAGGCACATAATTTTACAAAACAGAAAAGACAGTAATAACAAACCATCACCCAATTTGTTATCATTGTGGACTCAACAGTACAAAAAAATCACCTCCCATCATCCATTGGCAACATCATATGTGCCCTCACACTATCGTACCCAGTTGTTGTTGTGTTACTACTACTAGTAGTACAATCTAACTCGAACCCACTTAACTTCCCACCAAGCAAGTGCTCACTCTCTTCACCATTCAAATCAATTTTAACCCATGGATGCTTCATCTTTTTGTTGATCAACCCCTCCAATTCCATTGCTACTTCCTTCATAGTAGGCCTTTCCTCTCCTTTTACTATTAAGCACCTCTTTGCAATATTAGCTACTTCTGTGAGCTCCTCAACAATTCCTTCAATTTCTATTTGTTCATCAATAACTTGGAATAGCCCCGCGCCGTCCTGGTCGGCACGCCTCACGGTCGACCCCTCCCGCTCGGCCACCCTAGCGGTCGGCACGCCTCACGGTCGACCCCTCCCGCTCGGCCACCCTAGCGGTCGGCACGCCTCACGGTCGACCCCTCCCGCTCGGCCACCCTAGCGGTCGGCACGCCTCACGGTCGACCCCTCCCGCTTGGCCACCCTAGCGGTCGGCACGCCTCACGGTCGACCCCTCCTGCCCGACCACCCTCACGGTCAGTTCCTCCCGCCCTGTCACCCTTGTGGTCGGCACACCTTCCAGTCGGCCTCTCCACTCGTTCCACACTTCTCTTCCTTCTTACTATTCCCTTCGTTGGTCTAAAGCTGCACTCGGAAATGGGGGACTACTGACATGGATAGGCCCACAAGGCATACGGCCCACAGTAAACCACCCCAAACCCATCGCTTGGGACCAATGGCATAACCCGGTTGGCAAAGCCCAGGACAGCTGGAGGCCATCTAGACATGAAGGGCCAATGGCATTTGGGCACATGGCAGGTGGGACACGGGCCACATTAGCAGACAAAGATCTGCAGAGTTATTATCACAACACATCACCATTAATGCATCCCATCACAACATTTATTACGACAGCACCCCCCGCCGGAACAGAGTCTCCATCACCCTGAACAAGGCAAGCTACGGCACAGGCTTTCGGCAAAAGAAAGCACGTCACAAGAGACAGGAAAAATGATAACTAAAGAATATAAGCAAGGATAGGATGGCAAGAATAAGGTTAAGCTATCTCTCTCTCTCAATCCCTCTCTACACAGTTTTTCTCATACTCTGCTCTACTAATTCTCACACCGGAGGGTTCACTGGGGGACTACCCCGTTCCCCTCTGGACTTGCATGCAGGTCACCTGACGGAGTCATCACCCTGAGCCGGAGTCTGAAGAGCCTGGACCGGTCCGACCCATCCACCCGGGAACCAGAACCTTATCATATATATATATATATATATATAATAATTGAAACCATCCACCCATTATTTCTTCGGCTACATCACTAGCAATTTATGTTCTTTCCAATTTATGTTTTTCAACCAAATTACAAGGAGGTAAAATGTAATTAATCCATTTGAGTTTTATAATAGTGAAAATTAGCAATACAATCTCTATTTAGTTTGGGTTGTAGAAAAGGTGCAACATTAAGGATTTTTAGTTTAATATTCGTAGTAATATTTTTTTTACAAGGATAAGAATAATAAGAAAATTTGTAGAGTTTTGCTACATTTCTATCACTCTCAATTACACCTCTAATGAGGTGGCAAACAATATCAACCAATCAAGTCTCTTTTTTAGGGTTTAGGGGTGCAATTGTTTGTCATCTCATTAGAGGTAAAATTGAGGGGGATGAAATGGGGGGATGGATCATTTTTCTTTTTTATATTAGTTAAGGTCCTCCAAAACACATGGTGCCAAAATTTTGTAACTTTTTTTTTAACTCATTTGAAAATTCTAAAATTCTATAACTTTTGATCTAGACATCTAATTTTTTTATTTTTTTTTAAATTTGTATTTTTAGAATTGTTTCATCAAGATTTGTTAAATAAGATCCATAATAAATATAATTTTTTTTTTCAAGTTAACAAAATTTCACTGACCTACGACAGGTCAATGAAATTTCAATTAGTCAGTAAAATTTCGATAACCAAAAAATATATATTTTACAAAAAATGAACAAGATCTTTCAAACAAGATTGATTAGTAATATGAAATTCTGAAGTGGTTAGGACTCTAAAAATATAAATTTTATAAAAAAATGAAGATATAAATCAAAAGTTATTAAATTCTATTGACAAGATCTACTAGTAATATGAAATTCTGAAGCGAAAAATTCATGAAATTTCATTGACTCACTGACCAGCCGAAATTTCATTGACTTGACTTGGTCATCGAAATTTCACTATTAGTTAAATTTTATTGACTTAATCATCAAAAATTTACTGACCAACTAAAATTTCATTGACTTAGACTTACTTATCGAAATTTTACTAACCAACTGAAATTTCACTGACCTGTATTAGGTCAGTGAATAGATCAGTGAAATTTCATCGAACTTTTTTTTTTTAGAATTTTGTATTCATCATAGATATCTATATAATAAGGGAGAAAGGTTTTTGAAAATATATAAAATGTATCAGAGATACAATTTGAATCAATGACTTTTATCAATCCTAGATTTATATCAATGGCTCAGATCAATCCTTTCAAATGTACCAACCAATTGGTTCCCGCCCAAGCTCTCCCCTCTCTCTCCCTCACGTCTCATAAAGGCTGCCCATCTACCCCACTTTCTCTCTTTCTCTCTCCCTCTCTCCCCCTCTTGATTTTAAACTCTCTTCCTCATACTATCACACAAACCTTCTCTGAAGAGTTCTGATTTCGACTCTCTGGTTTTGGTTTCGGTTCTTTAACTGTTGATATCCATCTTGAGTCGCAATGCGGACATCGAAGGTTTTGGTTCTCCTAGAGATCGCCGGAGTGGTGGCGACGGTGGAGGAGGAAGTTGTGTTTCCTTAATTTTCTTGCGAAAATAGAGGAAAATAAGAGATGGGTTCTGCTAATTGTTTTGTTTTACTTTTTTTTTTATGTTGTTTTGAGGTTAAGTACTATTTGGATGAGCAAGTAATTAAAGTGGGTCATGGGTTGATTGTGGTTTTTTTTTTTTTTTTTTTTGTGTGTGCAGAATGTTGATGTGGGAAGATGGGTTTTGCAAAGGAAGAATTGCAGATTGTTTGGAAGAAATTGATGGTGTTGTTTCATCTGTTCAATCATCTTCGATCTCTCAAGAAGAAAGAGAGGGAGAATGAGAGGAACCCAATAATGAAGATTTTTCTCTTGAATATATATATATATATATATTGATCCCCAACTATCCAAAAACAAGAAAACCAAAGAATCTGCAATCTTCTTTGGTAGTGGAAAAGCTATAAAGAAAGTATGTTTTGTTGCATATTACCAGGTCATGATCTGAGAGAGAGAGAGAGAGAGAGAGAGAGAGAGAGGTGGAAACATGACTTGCCTTTGTGAGATCTCTCAACCTTCTCTCTTTTTTTTTTTTTTTTAACTGGATCTCTCGGCTGAATATGGCTTTTCCTGGTCTGGTCTTTGTGGGTGTAAAAGAATAGAGGACTAGAGTGTAGTAGGCAAAGCTTTTTCTTATAATTGCAAAACAATTTTTCTGTTACATGTCTTTTTCTATTTCACTATTTTATTGGTGAAATAAAATAGAGGACTGTTTTTTTTTTATTGGTGAACATTAT